CAACCTGCTTCTGTGGCCGCACGAGAATGACCACCACTATCTTTATGTTCAAATTACCTCTCCACGACATCTTGTTATTTTATCTAACAACGAAATATATATTTGTCTAGATTTTACGGGTATTATGTGAAGCTATACAATCAGGAAAATCAAACATTGTCCCGAAGGTCATATACTTGCCGCACTGTCAAGTTGGGTGGAGATTACAGAGGTTTATGCATGTATATTTCCTGTACAGTTAGAGAGCTGTCGAAAGAGGGACGCGTTTATTCAGTATAAGAGGCCTAATGGACGAAGTTCAAATGAATGATAAAATAAGCTCAGTCACTTGAGGTTTGGACAGAACCAGATTAACACAGAATATGTGATATAAAGGCTTGGTTTCCCGGCGACCATTTTTAAAATTTATTATATTTACTGTTCACTGTTTACATATTACCATATGAAGAATACATGGCGTTAATTTTATTATTAAAAATGAAAGCCTTTCCAACACAAATAAAATATGGGCTTCACGTTCAGTTCCAGCAGATAGACAGTAGGAGCCATAATGAGGTGAATATGTGCGATTTACGGATAATTATTATTTTAAACACCATGAAGTGATAGCCTGAAGTAGTACCCAGGTGTTGTTCATCGATCATAGGAAATGAATAAATATTGACCCTTACTCTGGCGTATTCGACTATCTCTCGTAACTAGACATATAATTAAAAAACAAGATCGCAATCATTCAGTCCTCTTAGTGTCAGTACGTGGTAGACATCAACAGAGAATCAACAGAAAATCCCAGTACTAATTACTCGCCCCCCTCCACCAGGTATACACCCCCCTTCCTCCCCGGAGAATATACCCCCTCCTCTCCCACGACTGCACTGCCCTCCGCCGAGAATATCCTTAGCGGATGCCACTCTTATCTCCCGAGGATATTCACTTTACAGAGTATATTATATGCTTGCTCATTATGCACGTCGGTTGTGTCAGTGTGTATGTTAAATATAGCAGGTTTAGACATGTTTACTGTACAACTAAACACTGCTATCTCCATTACGCTGACGATCTTTATTATAACAAACATTCTGATTTCTACTGCTATGTGTTGCATGCTGTAAACATAATAGCTAATACAAGATATAACTATCAATACTTATTAGAGACGTTCTCAACATATAAAAGGGGTTCACACAAAAAGAGAGGCTATTGTCTTACTTTGTAACATTTTTTTCTACAATAACAATAAAACCACAGTTTTTTTTCTAGAAAACCATTTGCTATGTAATCCATTATTGATGTAATTGTATCACTGGAATAAAACAAACATGTATGTTGTTACATGTTCTATATCAAACATATACTCATGCCAATAATGGTTGTCACCCCCTTCAATGTTTTTAGAGGGTGTGTGGGGTGGGGGTGTGAGGTGTGTGTGTGGGGTTGGGTGGGGAAGGGGATGATTACCATTATTGGCATGAGTATATTATGTGTTTTTATGATGTGTACCATAAGTTAATTTTCTGAGTTCATGACCTTTATCGTAACACTTTAACTGAAACAAAATTAAAAAAATACACCCCCATCTCTAAAATAATTCAGAAATGTCTTTAGATGATGGCACTATGACCTCATATTCAATATATTTGAATATTCCCACGGCAATAGGGCGGAGCTCTGTGTTCATAGTAATATCCTGGATTCACTTATTCGACATATTCTTAAGGAATACGTTATGTAACAATAAATATATTAGTGGACATTTTCCTGCAGATAGATAAATCGAAATTGTTTTGAAAAAGTTTTTTCCAGCAATCACAAATTTCGCGAACCACTGACAGTGTCGGTTCTGTGAATTTCCTCCCATTTCCCTGTAAACAAGTCGTTAAGCCTCGATGGGACGGACTCGAAATGGTTCATCTCCCAATCAGCAATGTGTATAATTCCCTGTGAGTACGGCCTCGTACACCTAAAACAATGTGGGTATATTTGCGGGTGCACGACGGTTTGCGGGTACATCAAAGTGTGCCTACTTTCTCAGGCCGGTGTTCCGTGTAAGCGGGTCTGTGATAAGCACTTCTGTAAACAGATTACACCAAGTAACGAGCGGCCAGCTTTGTTGTCGTAGAGCTCATACTTCACAGATGGAATTTGTAGCAAATAATCAAATAAATTCACACATATCTGTTTGCGGTTGTTGCGAGTTTGTGTTCTTATTGAAGGCGTTGATGCAAGTGTGAACACCCCTTAACGAACATGGAAACATATGTAATTCCCATTACGGCATTTTTCGTTATTTTGTTGAATATTGTAAATAATTAATTCTCTTTTCAAATGGCAACAACAACGTAAAAGATACAATGTGCTTAAGCATAAAAAATGCAAAACGTTAAATATTTTAATTTATATAATCGTTTAAAAATTATATGTGCGAGAATGTATGGATGCCAACTCCTTTGTTTTGAGGAATACATATGGACAAAGGAATATGCAGATACAACGAAACGTTGTGTTTTTTAGAATAAAGAAGGTATTTTGATGTCTTGTAAACGTCATATAAACATTTGACAAAAATGATGTCATTTTTACATACCAGTAAAAAGTATGGTTAGAGCGTTGGATGCACAATGTATGTTGATGGAACATACACATACCGGGTACTAAGTTAGATCGCAACATTGTATTGATCAAATGTTTATTAAAAACAATTGCTTCCAGTATTGTCCTGATTGTGCTTTAGCAGTTCGTTGTCTTATATTCCTAAAACAGCGTCGGTTAAAACAGTTCCTTACTAGTAATCAATTATATTTATACTTTTAAAATATATTTCTGGTTGTAAAATATTGATTAAAGGACAACAAAAACATATTTTGTCGGATCACACAAAGTGCATCATTTATGTGCATGTTCCAGAGTGATATCGTGCTGACAAAAGCGTGCAAAATATATTGACATAAGTTTTTAAAAAATGGCATTGTTGTAAAATATTTACGGTCCTCAAATTTGTACATCACTTTAAGACCTATACTTAATCCAGTCATCTTCTACGATTTATATATGACCAAAGTTCCATTTTCTTTGATAAGTTAAAATTAAATGCTACAGTGGGCTACACACGGGATTGCTAAAATAATAACAGCTTCTTTATGCGGCATTTAGAAGCTGGTATGATGAAGAGGAACACATTTTATGGATCACTTGCTTGATAACGGTGTTATCACCTACACCGAAACGGCGCATCTATTGCAAAAAATAAGATGTCAATCCATAAAAATTGTTCCTCTTCAAATAATAACCGGTTCACAACATATGGCGTTCTATCTTGCATTTGTATCATCTTGAAAGGTGAAGAAAGAAAATCAGAGTATGGCTTTCTTCTTGATACCAATTGGGTATTAAGCCTCCCTGTAGGTACCTCCCTGTACATTTCGGACTTAACGAATGGGTTAGTGTGCACGGAGATAACAAATATAATGGTAGTTTATTGATAAATATCAAGTCTGCCTTCATGGCACACTGCCTTTATGTGTAACACTGGCTATATGTGGAATTACATATTTTAGCCTTTATGTGTGTTAATGTTGTTATTTGCTTTATTTAACGTCGCAAGTTACTCAATGACCACATATATCCCTTTGTATCAAGTGTTTATGTATTTGACACCTCTGAACTGTTTAGAAACATTAATTATACTGAATTTAATATATATTCATTTGCAACTGTAATGTTTGTCGAATAGCTTGGACAACAACCAAACAGATTTATAAAGATCTCAGAAATCAGGGTTTGTTTAGCAGTATTCCATGTGAATGTGATCAGTAAAACACAATCAAAATACCGAAAAGTACAACATAATATCCCTCTCCCCTCATCAATACATCGCACAAGGCACTCTCTATGTATATTCTACAATCGCCCAGCTAACAACACTAGATATCGCCTCACACCTGCCTTCTCCGATCACTTTGTGTTTCAATCAAAGCTTGTATCAACTGTAATTGTTAGTGAGGACTTACTAATGTGATCCAAACTAGTTGTGATAAGAAATCCCCTCCCCGTTGCCCCTCCCCCACCCCTCTTTTTAAACCCCGCCTCGCTGTGATCTGTGTCTCCGTGGGACGAGTCCTCTCCGCTGTTGTCCTAGCGGTGTCGATCTCGAGCAGTCACCAATCAAAATGTGTTACGTCACGGCGCTATAGTCACGTGACCTTGGGGCCACATGAGTCGCCGTGATGCTTTATGGAATATGTAAATGTATATATAGGTTTCGAGTAGCACGACCTCAATCACACTGGTGAAAGGGGACTTGACGCGCTGCTGCAGGTAAGGCTTTATACCCCCAAACGACTTCCTTAAATTCATGTACAACTTGAAGCTTTTATTTACGACTATATGACATTATCGGACTGTCAGAAATGAGCAGCATATAAATAATATACCAGATTACGCGACGCCGATTGTAAATATTGTGATTTGACTGATTTTAATATGCACTTATTACGTACACCGGATAATATGTGTTATTTTAAAGAACATAAACCTGGATGTTTGTGTATGATTAATATTTATTTGCAATGTAAGAAAATATGTCTTATAAATATGCTTGATACAAGAACTGATTTGCATAAATACTCTACGTCATGTGATTGACTCTTAATACTACACTCTACTTTTGGCACACAATACCATAACAATGGTTTACCTAGTTTCATTGTGGTGTAGTGAATTCTTCCTTGTCGAAAGGACTCTCGTCCTTAACGCGAATTAAGGAAATCTGAACTTTCGTTTCACTGAGAATCTCAATCTTACCTAACTAACTGCAACCGTTTACTGTTCCCGGTCAATCTATTTTACATCCAAGAAATCTCAGATTTAAATATTTAATTAAACAAGAACCTAGAGACATAATTACCTTTACAATATCATAGACCTTCCAAATCAGACCGTGTATTTGTGTGTTTCGTTTTACACTGCCACGTACCCATTTATTAAAAGGAAATTTATTTCAGATTACTCCAAGACCGGCTCCCTTCGCCATACTTCTCCACCCGGCCACCCTGGAAACAACATGGCGTCGTCTACGGCAGTCCAACCGCAGCCCATCTTCAGCTACCCTAGTCTGTCTTCACACGGTAGCCCCTCCCTCGGAATGTACCCTCCCGTCCCCCGGGCGTCGCTTGGCGCCCACAGCGGATTGTCATTGTACCCTCTCCCGGCCTACGTCGCCTTCAACTCGTACCACATGAACTCTTGGACGTGTTCGCCTTACCCCGACTGTCGGTGTGAGGGGGACGGGACTCCGGTCACCCCCATCATGGGCCTACCCCTGGAGGCATACCGTGGAATGACGACACCAAACACCCCCGAGAAAGACAGTAGTCCAGGGTATGACGTTGCCAGAGAACTTGTCTACAGTGACGGTGAGTACTCGAATAAAATACTAAAACACAATGAACAATTTCTCGATGGTTGCTGCATGTCGGTCCTCATTTTTTGTAATTAGTTATTATTTTTATCACACTGCCTTAACAAATATTCACCTTCTGGTTGATCAGGAAATAGATCAAGGAGAAATTGTCACTATAATTGTCACTTGAATAACATACATTTCTTGCACTTATTTCAAGAGTCCAAGCTTGATAGCTGTAATCAATATCCACTTTGTGTTAATATCTTTATTATTTATGGATAATGAACATGTTCTCAAAAATGTAATGTTCCTAATATTGAACGTGCTGTTCCCTGAAGTGGCGCTCCAGCACGTAATCAGTCATAAATTTAGTACAATAAATAGAATCAGGATGTGGAGGATCTTCCCAACAAGAAATGGCTAATAGGATATGAAACTGAGTAGTCATATAAAGAGGGTAAATATCGCCATCAATGGTAAATGTCGGGTAATTGAATTCAAATTTCTTTTGCCACAATCATTAGAATTAAGGGTTAGATACCTAGCTGGACACTTGTTAATGAATGTTTACCGGCCTTGTGGTGACCTGCAGTCGGATACACAGATCCTGCAGAGGAAGTGATAAGGCAAAGACTCAGTAGTTCATATTGTTTTAACCACAGCGGTAATGTGATAAGACATTTTTTCTAAAATTTAGTGATGCTCCTATAAGCATCCAACTTCCGGAGATAAGTCCCCGTGCAAAGGGCGCATGACATGACTTCCGGAAACTTGAATGGTAGTCATATATCACAATTGGATATAATTTATGCACAGACCTATCAGATATTTTAACAACCCACCCCCTCTCGCTCCCCACTCTGTCTCTCTCCCTCCCCACCCCTCTCTCTCTCTCTCTCTCTCTCTCTCTCTCTCTGGTATAGGATGTGTGTGAAGTGATCTCTCCGTTCCCACGTGGAAGGTTTCAGTGCGGGCGCATGTTCCAAGAAAAATTGATGTGTGTGAAGTGATCTCTCCGTCTAGTGTGACGTGTGTCCTCTGTCCGTCTGTGGCAAAGGACTCTCTGTCCCCCCCCCACTCTCTCTCTCTGTGATCTCTCTCGATCTCTCTCTCTCTCTCTCTCTCTTATACAGGGGTTCTCATATCCTTTTCCCAACCGAGGAACCGTTCCCCTATTCTACGTAGAATAGGGAGAGAAAACAGCAAAGTTGTTCTATCTTTTTACTGTGTTCTTGTATACATCGATAATGATTGGTGATTTTCTGAATATTTTCAGCCGATAGCCCTGATGAGAAACCACGATTGAAACCCCGCTTCGACTTTTCCCGTCTTGCCGAATCAGCCACACGAGACTTGAAGAAAACCGAAGGCGACGCGACGAGATCTGGTAGCGCAGACGCCAAAGTCTACAGCCACGCTCTAGCCCTGTTGCAAGACAGCTTGAGGTAAGTTGCATCGTATACACTTAGTCCTAACTCAACACGTACACCATAACAATTTCAAATAACTGTTCAATCAAATTATGGGGAAAAGATTATGTTTGACATAAAACGGATCGCCATCCTTCTTTTCGTCCCTTCTGTAACATACAAGAAATGCATTCAGCTGTTCCCGAATTGGCATGAGTGGTAGCGAATGGAAGATACCGTGACTTTGCTGTGATTCTGATTGGATGTTTGTTTACAGGTACAGCCAATTACTGAGCGGTATCAGACTTCCGGTGTTGCAGAGGGCACCAACAGACACGGAGAAACTAAAGATCAAAAGACCTAGAAGGTGAATAGAAATACATGACTTTCTCTATATAAGTCTATATCGACATAGATAATAACCACATGGGTTTAATTTTAGCTTAGGTTGCTTCTATAAAGTAATTGTATCGCCCATGCAGCCGTAACGCTAATATCGCTTTGAGAAACGGAGCCAAGGAGCTAAAATTACAGTTGGGTCGTCAGATTGTCATTTCAGTTTGTTAGCACGGTACTGACGAGAATGCGAACTAGTTTCTGACTAAATGAATGTTTTTTTTCGTAGGGTAAGATAAAAGGTAAGTTTAAATGTCTGATGCAATTTAGAGTTTCCTATAATGGAAGAGAGTTTTTTTCAATACAAGTGAGTGAGTATGGCCTTACGCCACTTTAGCAATATTGCATCAATGGGCTTCACACACTGGGAAATCGAACTCGGGCCTTCGGCGTGGCGGGCGAACGCTTTAACCACTGAGTTACCCCACCGCCCTTTTCTCAATATAAAAATAGTGATACGCTCTTAAATACATTCCACAAATGGTACGGCGGGGGACCCCAGAAATGGACTTTGCACTTTGTACCCATGTAGGGATTCGAACACGGGCGAGCGAACGAGGGCATTACTCCACCCCTCTGTGTTTATACACAGAAGAGCATGTGCTTGACATATGTTAATAATGATAATATTTTTCATTTGTGGCACCAGTTCTGTTGAAATTATATTTCTGAGACATTTTATTTTTTCATAGGGGACGCTAGTTTCGGTATTTTATAGAGATTTGTAAACAAATTAGCGTATGAAGACGCAAAATTAAAGTATGATCCTGATCTTCTACATTTCTCCGAAATTTACAAAAAAAACACTTGCCACATGGAGTGGGTTAGTGTTTATTTCGAATTGTTTTACACCCTCATCGAGCAATGCATGTATATATCCTGCCTTGTTCACAATGATTCTCCCATCTTCACTGTATCTTCTCACTTATCTATAATCACGTGATGAGATCTAACGCTAATCGCCGAATATAGCTGCTAGATTGGTTGGACGACTTTAAACAATCCTCACTCACTCACTCCAAAGTTAATGTTGTTTACTTTAAGTCTAGTTGATGCACCACTAGCCATGAACTGTGCACGTGATAATGTGATCTGCGATGTATATAACTGTACGACCAGGAAGAATTACATACATACACTTGAAGCAGGAGTAAGCTGCCCGATTCGGCTTCCACTCAACCTCCGGATCTGGGATCGGAAGACCAGTAGTCTAAGCGAAACCCCCGACAGATCGACTTTCCTGAATAAAAATTGCCATTATTTTGACTCACCCGGAAACTGACACACCACGTGAGATACCGCGCAACAGTTCCCACGTGGAAGGTTTCAGTGCGGGCGTATGTTCCAAGAAAAATTGATTTGTTGTGAGTTAACTGACATTACAAGAATGAGTTGGGATATAGAGTACAAATAGCAACCAAACGGACGTTACTTTCACATCGGTGTGTGGGTTGGGTTTAACCAATCGTTTCCAATTCTCCCAGCACATCGCGGCATGATACATCTGAGATGGACTGTACAATGTATCCTTCCGATACAATAGCTGTATCGAGACTCTTAAATGAAGTGTTCATAAATGTACGTGAGTATTGAACTCAAACATATATTCCTATTTTTCCAGAGCCAAGAAAGAGTTTATATGCAAGTACTGCGGGCGCCATTTCTCCAAGTCCTACAACCTGCTGATCCACGAGAGAACCCACACAGACGAGAGACCCTTCCCTTGTGAGATCTGTGGCAAGGCGTTCAGACGACAAGACCATCTCCGTGACCACAGGTACGTGACAGTCTCACTGACAGTCTCACTCACATGGACTTACCAAGTTATCACCGGTAAAGTGAACCTAATGCCGATTCTTTACGAAAAATAACAACATGTTGGGCATAGCTAATTGATGTGTCACAAGTAAAGCGTAAAGCTACTTGCACCAGCTGCGTCACTAGTACAGCTACTTGCACCAGATGTCACTAGTAAAGCGTAAAGCTACTTGCACCACCTGTGTCACTAGTACAGCTACTTGCACCAGATGTCACTAGTAAAGCGTAAAGCTACTTGCACCACCTGTGTCACTAGTACAGCTACTTGCACCAGATGTCACTAGTAAAGCGTAAAGCTACTTGCACCACCTGTGTCACTAGTACAGCTACTTGCACCATGATGTCACTAGTAAAGCGTAAAGCTACTTGCACCTGGTGCAAGTCACTAGTGAAGCTACTTGCACCTGATGTCACTAGTAAAGCGTAAAGCTACTTGCACCACCTGTGTCACTAGTAAAGCGTAAAGCTACTTTGATCAGCTGCGTCACTAGTAAAGCGTAACTTTAGCTACTTGCACCACCTGCGTCACTAGTAAAGCGTAAAGCTACTTTGATCAGCTGCGTCACTAGTAAAGCGTAAAGCTACTTGCACCAACTGCGTCACTAGTAAAGCGTAACTTTAGCTACTTGCACCAACTGCGTCACTAGTAAAGCGTAAAGCTACTTGCACCACCTGTGTCACTAGTAAAGCGTAAAGCTACTTTGATCAGCTGCGTCACTAGTAAAGCGTAACTTTCGCTACTTGCACCAACTGCGTCACTAGTAAAGCGTAACTTTAGCTACTTGCACCAACTGCGTCACTAGTAAAGCGTAAAGCTACTTGCACCACCTGTGTCACAAGTAAAGCGTAAAGCTACTTTGATCAGCTGCGTCACAAGTAAAGCGTAACTTTAGCTACTTGCACCAACTGCGTCACTAGTAAAGCGTGACACTAACGTACTGCATCCATCTGCCGTCTTCAGGTACATACACTCCAAGGAGAAGCCTTTTAAATGCGAGACATGCGGCAAAGGATTCTGTCAGAGTCGAACCCTGGCAGTCCACAGAGCAACTCACATTCAGGTATGTTGTCCTAACTGTGTCACGAAAGCCTTCTCAGTAAACAAGATTGTCAGTTACTTGGGGGATGTGTGAATGAATGTTATTTTAGATCGCATTACTCAATATCCAAGGCCTATCATGACGACCTGTATGTGATCGAATCTGGACCAGGCAAACCGGCGAAAACATGGGCAGCGATCCCACATTAACAATGACTGAATTTATAGTCAGACCTCCCGCTCTCGTCCGCCTCACCACAAGCAGTGAAGCGCAGGGGAACTGTACTAAGCCCGTTGCCTACGATCGTTTAACGTAACCTGAGTTTGGTACAGGATACGTTTTATGCAACTTGCAATCCCCTTTCCTGCGTCGTTTAAAAATCAGCCCCAATTCTATCCAAGATTACCCCATAATCAAGCTAGGATGTTTCACTCAGTGTATCATGTACTTCAGGCGTCGCCCCTCACAGCTCCCTTCAGCAATGGCGTAGCAGTTATTAATTGTTGCTCATTTTTGGTAGTATGTGGACTGTTTGAACAATTTTTGATGACCTTTATTTTCCTTTTCAGCCTTAACCTGTAACCGGTGCGGTTTGCAGTATTACCTGTTATGAAGGCCGGAAAGTGCTATTGAAAGACAGACGTCATCGCAAGTGGCGAACACGCGGGCTTGTGCATGTTTCACCACCGCGCGTACTGCTGACATCAGCATCTCCAACAAACTGTTTAGGGAACAACTTGAGACAGTTGTTGCAGTGCCTGCATTGCACGTGCTCCACAGCCTACTCATCCTAGTCTTCAGAAGGCAGTTGTCGCAAGGCCTACGTTGCAAGTGCTCCACGGCCTACATTGTTCTCGACGAAGGCCATGTTGCATGACTGTGAACACCCCGCCATGCTGCATGAAGATGAACACCCCTGACGTTATGTTGCATGACGGTGAACATCCCGCCATGCTGCATGAAGATGAACACCCCTGACGTTATGTTGCAATCCTGTTATCATTATTTGTTTTGTTATGATTTCACGTTTACTTTGTTAGTGATGAGATACTTCATAATATACAAGTATTTGTATTCTAGAACCAAAACTAACGTGTGTAGCTAGTCGGTGCTTCTTTCTCTACACGATGCCAAACTTACGCCTAGTATGTATATGACTAACTGTACATAGGTATATTATCAAGACATATACACTACAGAACCAGTTGTGCCAATTGTTTGAAGCAAATCCTAATTGCGTCCATGGAATCTACCTGTGTGCTAGCGAGCGTGTCCCGCGAACCCAGTGCCAACGCCAATACAGTATTATAATGTGATAAGCACAAAGCTGCCCCCACCTGTAGAGGGTGGAGCAGTGTAGTTGTAGTGGGTAGATCTGTAGGTAGGGTTGTAGACTTAGTGACGGTCTCAGTGTCTGAGATTCATCGTAACTACTGCCACCATTCCTTCGATGTACATACAAGCTAGGCATAGACATGGGAAACTTGCTGATGCAAAATAAATAAATAATAATGATTTGTGATTTGTTCCTCTTGTTTTCCTGCCGTTTGTGCGCGCGTGCGCAGTGTAGACGGTGTGGACAAATGGCGGGGTTGACTTCCCATTTCCAGATTCCTATCTGTGGAATAAAGACATTGTTGCAATTGAGGGTGAAGTGTACTTTAATACAGGTGTGTCCAGACATGTTGTAGATATGTTTGAAGTGTACATTAGTACAGGGTGGGCATGGAGGGTAAAGTGCACTTTAGTACAGGTGTGTACCAGACATGTTGTAGATATGTATGGGACATGGAGGGTAAAGTGTGCACTTTAGTACAGGTGTGTCCAGACATGTTGTATATATGTTTGGGCATGGAGGGTAGAAGTGTACATGTTGTTAGTACAGGTGTACAGGTGTGTCCAGACATGTTGTAGATATGTTTGGGCATGGAGGGTAAAGTGCACTTTAGTACAGGTGTGTCCAGACACATGTTGTAAATATGTCCAGACATGGATATGTATGGGCACATGAAGTGTATGTTTTGGAGTGCACAGGTGTGGACAAGATATGTTTGGGCATGGAGGGTAAAGTGTACTTTGGTACATGTTGGTGTGTCCAGACATGTGTGTAGATATGTATGGGCATGGAGGGTGAAGTGTACTTTGGAACAGGTGTGTCCCAGACATGTTGTAGATATGTTTGGGCATGGAGGGTAGAAGTGGTACAGGTGTGTCCAGACATGTTGTAGATATGTTTGGGCATGGAGGGTAAAGTACTTTGTACAGGTGTGTGGAGCAGGTGTGTCCAGGCATGTTGTAGACAATGTTTGTTTGGGCATGGAGGGTGAAGGTGAACAGTGTCCAGGCATTTGGATACAGGTGTGTCCCAGGCATGTTGGAGATATGTTTGGGCATGGAGGGTAAAGTGCACTTTAGTACAGGTGTGTCCAGACATGTTGTAGATATGTATGGGCATGGAGGGTGAAGTGTACTTTGGAACAGGTGTGTCCAGGCATGTTGTAGATATGTTTGGGCATGGAGGGTAAAGTGTACTTTGGTACAGGTGTGTCCAGGCATGTTGTAGATATGTTTGGGCATGGAGGGTAAAGTGTACTTTAGTACAGGTGTGTCCAGACATGTTGTAGATATGTTTGGGCATGGAGGGTGAAGTGTACTTTGGAACAGGTGTGTCCAGACATGTTGTAGATATGTTTGGGCATGGAGGGTAAAGTGTACTTTAGTACAGGTGTGTCCAGACATGTTGTAGATATGTTTGGGCATGGGGAGTAAAGCGTACTTTAGTACAGGTGTGTCCGGACATGTTGTAGATATGTTTGGGCATGGAGGGTGGAGTGTACAGGTGTGTCCAGACATGTTGTAGATATGTTTGGGCATGGAGAGTAAAGCGTACTTTAGTACAGGTGTGTCCGGACATGTTGTAAGCCCACTCATTGTTAACGATCAAAGTTAAGAATTCTTAGTGCTACGAACGTTACGAACATCTAGGCCCAGGACAAGATCGGACAGGAGTCCGTAGGACAGCACCGAATGACCCCGCACCCGACTGGTCATTGCGATAGCCTTGTCCAGTGACACCCACCTCCCTGCTATCTGCATGGTCACGCCTGCTGATGACCGGCTAGTTTCATCATATCTCCATAGCCATACAACTGATGAAGTCCGGCTAATTACCACATCCCAGTCTTTGATTAGTGAGGCTATAATCACTGCGACTCGGTGTAAACTTCATGCATATCATGTTTACAGTAACATAACCTGGTAAATGCTGTGGGCATCCTAGAACGCCTCGATAGATCACATTACTTAGCCAGTTGGAATTACTCCTAAATATGCTCATAAGATTAGAGACGCTATTGACCAAAAAGTAGTTTGACCGTGCCGAGATTGTGTGGACCCTTTTGGTGTTCAACAAGGATGCTTCTGCCACTGTCTTTATTTACAAGGATGCTTATTTCGGCGCCTTAAGGATACTAACCTCGCTGTCTTCATTACGGGAGTAGTACGTGCTGGATTCCATGGGCATTGTACCCTTGTACGCCATCCCATAATGTGTGATTGTGTATGAGTACGTCGCCGTTATCGAACTTTCTCCCATTTCACTTCATGGAGGACATTGAAGCCCATTTCTGGTGTCCCCCGCTGTGATGTTGCTGGAATACTGCTAAAAGCGACGTACGTAAAGCCATACTCACTCACCCAGGGAGGACATGTGAAGCCCATTTCTAGTGTCCCCCACCGTGATGTTGCTGGAATACTGCTAAAAGCGGCGTACGTAAAGCCATACTCACTCAACCAGGGAGGAAAGATAATTGACGTTACAAAAAAGGCAAAGGCACCAAATATCAGCATCGGGGTAACTTTAGTGTCGTGGGTGCTTTAACAAGACACAACATGTGTTACCCGAGCTAACTACTCAGTTCTGAACACCATCTAAAGAGGACTTTCAGAACTCCATTGCTCACCCTTGAAACATGAACGCCAATGAAAAATAAATCGACAACTAAAATGCATAATTACTTTACAGAATTATTGAATATGCGTACCAAATACGATTCTGTTTCCGTACAGAACTTCTTTCAAGTAACCCCCCGAATAATGATCTACAAAAGGTGGTTCGTATCCTACTTCCTAATAGTTTTTACGTAATAGTGTGAATAATCGTTTTGGCAAAGGTGTTATCGCAGAGAAATAAAATCAATCTTTGCTTGTTGCTGAACATTTTAATAGTATAAACCTTGTCTGTCTCACACCGCACAACCCTGTCCTCAATGCAACAAGTCTGGACTTCCCCAGGTTAAGAATCCATTGGGGGATGGGATTCCTTTGTTCCTTATTTTGGGGGGTCAAAAGATATCTTTCTCTCTCTCTCTCTCACACACACACACACGCGCGCACACGCACACACACATTTCGTGTATATATTTATTCCCATACTAAGCACTATTCTATTATAAAACAACTACCACATTCTGTTCAACTGTTTACCTGAGTACTGTATCAGATCAGCTAACTGGGTGATTATCCCTAAATCTAATATGAAACTATCACCTATTTCAAACCCACTTAGGCTCCCCTGGCAAATCTTCCCACAACCCACAACCTCCATGCCAAGGGTTAAAGTTTAATGTCGACGCTGGCTGACAACGCCGTGCATTGTACAACCAAACCTGACAGTACAATGTCGCCATATTTACAACCGTCTGCACTACTTCAAAACTGTGATGATCATTCTATCATCACACGCCGATTACGACTTGAGAATAAACTCAACTACTGATACTATAAATTGGTGTTGTCAGCAGAGGCGCGGGGGGCTGGGCGAACTACTGGCTTCGCTCCCAGGCACAACCCAGTTATCTCCCTTCACTGTGTTGAACCACTGGCAGCTACACAGCGGGTGTAAAGGAAACTTGCTGCCGCAAATTGTTATGAGCTGTTGACAAGGTGTGAATTATGGCTTAAAGAAACACTCGATTGTTGATAGGAAGCAGCAAGGTAAACGATAATTAAACTGCTAAGTACTACTGTTACATAAATCACCCCCTAGACGAGGAGGCGAAGTGTCGGACTCTGTCATATGGCGTGTCGGTCTGAGACAGATATAAACGACATGTGTGTTAATACACTTTACCTTTGATCCCAACACCACCGGTTTGTCATTAAACCGGGTCGTAATACGACACACACCACAATAGACACATATCGCTAAAAAGGCTGCATAGTAAGGATAGAGAGGGTAATGGTATAGAGAGAGAGAGAGAGAGAGAGAGAGAGAGAGAGAGAGAGAGAGAGAGAGAGAGAGAGAGAGAGAGAGAGAGAGAGAGCATAGAGAGAGAGAGAGAGAGAGAGAGAGAGAGAGAGAGAGAGAGAGTCCTTTGCCACAGACGGACAGAGGACACACGTCACACTAGACTGAGAGATCACAGAGAGAGAGAGAGAGGAGGGGGGGGAAGAAAGAAAGAGTCCTTTGCCACAGACGGACAGAGGACACACGTCACACTAGACGGAGAGATCACTTCACACACATCCTATACCACAGAGGAACAGAGGACACACATCACACTAGACGGAGAGATCACTACACACACATCCTATACCACAGAGGACACACGTCACACTAGACGGAGAGATCACTACACACACATCCTATACCACAGAGGAACAGAGGACACACATCACACTAGACGGAGAGATCACTACACACACATCCTATACCACAGAGGAACAGAGGACGCACATCACACTAGACGGAGAGATACTACACACACATCCTATACCACAGAGGAACAGAGGACACACGTCACACTAGACGGAGAGATCACTACACACACATCCCTTACCACAAAGGAACAGAGGACACACGTCACACTAGACGGAGAGATCACTATACACACATCCTATACCACAGAGGAACAGAGGACACACATCACACTAGACGGAGAGATCACTACACACACATCCTATACCACAGAGGACACGGGGGCCACATCACACTAGACGGAGAGATCACTACACACATCCTATACCACAGAGGACACACGTCACACTAGACGGAGAGATCACTACACACACATCCTATACCACAGAGGACACACGTCACACTAGACGGAGAGATCACTATACACACATCCTATACCACAGAGGAACAGAGGACACACATCACACTAGACGGAGAGATCACTACACACACATCCTATACCACAGAGGAACAGAGGACGCACATCACACTAGACGGAGAGATACTACACACACATCCTATACCACAGAGGAACAGAGGACACACGTCACACTAGACGGAGAGATCACTACACACACATCCCTTACCACAAAGGAACAGAGGACACACGTCACACTAGACGGAGAGATCACTATACCCACATCCTATACCACAGAGGAACAGAGGACACACATCACACTAGACGGAGAGATACTACACACACATCCTATACCACAAAGGAACAGAGGACACACATCACACTAGACGGAGAGATCACTACACACATCCTATACCACAGAGGACACACATCACACTAGACGGAGAGATCACTATACACACATCTTATACCACAAAGGAACAGAGGACACACATCACACTAGACGGAGAGATACTACACACACTTCCTACACCACAGAGGAACAGAGGACACACGTCACACTAGACGGAGAGATCACTACACACACATCCCTTACCACAAAGGAACAGAGGACACACGTCACACTAGACGGAGAGATCACTATACACACATCCTATACCACAGAGGAACAGAGGACACACATCACACTAGACGGAGAGATACTACACACACATCCTATACCACAGAGGAACAGAGGACACACATCACACTAGACGGAGAGATCACTATACACACATCCTATACCACAGAGGAACAGAGGACGCACATCACACTAGACGGAGAGATACTACACACACATCCTATACCACAGAGGAACAGAGGACACAAATCACACTAGACGGAGAGATCACTACATACACATCCTTTACCCCAGACAGACAGAGGACACACGTCACACTACACGGACAGACTTAGAAGCTACACACACATCACAAATCAAACGGCAAACGACATTGATAAGTCACTTTCCCATCCGAATGATGAATCATATTGAACTTCTTATTGCCGAGGGGAAATCAACGCTTCACCTGCAAAGGCCATATACAACAGTTAAAAAAAGTCAGAATTATGCAACTATCTCTATGTAAGACAAAACAATGTACACAAATGAAGATGTACGGGCCATGCCCCCGAACATTCCACGTCCTTTTGTATCTTCATAATGTATCAAGCTGTCGTATATTGTAGAATACCATGTGATATATAAGCGGGGACATCACAACCGGCTTCTAGTTACTTAGTGCAGGAATTGTTCAAATACACCCATGCCCCTTCTGCCTAGGCGTCTCCCCTCCCAGATCGGGGAAGGTGTCGTCCTCTGTCTGACGCTAGGTGTTCTAGTGTGTAATTTTGGGGAACAGTATCGATACAAAACAGTGATTGTGACGGCTATATCATACACGCGTGACACAGGTCATCATACCAGGGACCCCTGCAGGTCAGCGCGTGCCAAGAATGTGCCAATTGTGCGCCACTGTCCACCAACAATGATAAAGGGAGGCAACTAACGCCACCTGCTGCAACCAACTTCTGCTGGCTGGGGTCGGGATGTAATTGGCAATTACGCAGATAAGCGTGGTGGCTGGCGGGTCAGGAGCCATCATACTACTATGAAAGAAATGATCACTGAATGTATCTTTTACAACCTTAGTCGTATGAACATATACAACAATAATATATATCTCTTGGAATTTTCACCAGGTGTAAGTGAATGAGGTGTTGGGGACTACTGGGACAACGACCTGTCGTTCAAGGGAATTCCTGAACTAGCGGGGATTGTGAACTGGCGTTTCAGAGAATACCCACGGGTTTCATGAATGACTGCATGAACTTGCGGGGTTTGTGGATTGTAGTTTCCCAGAATACCCACGGGTTTACAAAATGACTGCATGAACTTTACGGTGTTTGCGCCTGTCATATACTGGAATTCCTGCTGGTACGTGAATGAATATATGATCTGGGGCCTGTTGGTTGGTTTGTTGTTTTACGCCGCACTTACCAATATTCCAGACCAGCTATATTGCAGCGGTCTGTAAATAATCGGGTCTGGACCAGACAATCCCGATGGTACATGGGTGAATGTATTACCTAGCGGGGATTGTGAACTTGCGTTTCCCTGAATACAAGCAGGTCGCATGAATGTCCATGAACTAGAGGTTTTATTTAGTGTTGGTTGTTAGTCGCCTCTTACGACAAGCATGGGTTACTGAAGATCAATTCTGATCAGGATCTTCGCGGTTCCTTAACCTAAGTAGACACTGGCCAGAATATTTAAAAAAATACCTTGAAGGATTTGACGTTTTTTTCAGCATGACTAGGTACTGTTCTTATGCAAAACACATTCATTGTACAGACATTTTAAACAGTGCGACCTTAAACGACGAACAAACACACTTTGAATGAGAAAGTCCTCCTTCGCTTTCTTAACGTTATCAATGCATTTTAACTATATCAAGAGTTCAAATTATGACTCGTCTAGTTTGTGTTTGAACTGTCTTGTTAGTATCATTGCCTAATTGCATTCACAATTGTGAGTAGTTGTTAACACAGTCTAATTACCATTCTGTAAAGCAGAAAAGGCCACATAAGTGGGTGCCAACCCGCTCCCCATCTGAATTCCGACTTCCATTCGATGTTTCAATCGTCAGATTCATTCCCTCAAATCTAAAACCCGAGTACAAATAAACGTAAACCTCATGTGAGATGAAGTTAAATGACAGGGACATATTGAAACAGGTAACATATAGGAAGGATACACTTAGCTACATCAGTATGTATCTTTGTAAAACAATTTTGTGTAAGCAATATGATTTCATTGGCGTCCAGCATACCGCATTGCTCCATCTTGAATACCCTTTAACTTGGCCCCGAAACCTATGCACCTGCAGGGGGTGGCAGCCTCATATAATATGTTTAGTCTGTATTGAAAGGGATTTCAAGTACATAATAAATTTATATGATCGCAGGTGTTTCAGTGCATATGTTTTCGGAGTGTACCGCTATAACTGAACCAAAATGGTTTTACCACGTCGCCTCAAGATTGCAGGTGGTTTAACATGGGGTAGGATCGTCATCGATTCTTGTTTACTATTCTACGTGTGACCCTTGTCACGGGGTATATATATACTTTGAATTCATGTTGGCAGTGTCGACACAACATCCTGGAACAGCTGCCATCTGTCTTTTGTCAAACGAGAAAAGAGCGTTTACTTCCCACATTGATGCTTCGACATCCGCAATCTGATACGTTATTTTATGTCCGTTTCAAACACCATGCCAGGCAAGATCCGGAAAAGGAACGGAATGGAACGTTGTGCAGATCAAATAGATGCGCTGTTTTCACACTTTTTTAGTTGATAAAATACGTGTACATCACATAGTGTTGACATCAGGGAAACCTACCGATCGGCCTATAATAGGCCAAACGGGATATTATAGGCCGTTCTGCCTATTTTACTGTAGGCTGATTGGCCTATAATTATGATATTTATCAAATAAATTTGAAGTGGTGCATTTCCGCATGAGGATATTAACATCATTCAAGCTTTGATGTCCTAAGGTTCTCATTCAAACCCTTTTTGAGAATTTTCATCACATAATAAAGGAGTTTGGAAATTGCTAATTAAATATAAGTCTATAATATTTTTGACAATTTTCACTGAAAATTAATGACATAGAATATTCAGTTTTAGATTTCAAAAGGAAAATCTATGAAAAATTGTGGTCTTAATGAAACATCTTTTCCTGAACATGATATAAATTTCCATTTTGTCCCAAAAACTTTTTTTTTCAAGCTGAGGAGGTCGATTAACTATTCATCTCTATGATCAAATATAACCATTTCGTGCGGAAATTGATACTTTGTGAAATAATTAGAAAAATGTTCAAATATAGCCCGATCGGCCTATAGCAAAATAGGCGTATAATATCGGCCTATTATAGGCTGATCGGTAGGTTTCCCCAAATTCTTCCCAAAAAAGAAACCCTGTGGGGTTCTGTGTACAAGAAGTGTTTGGCACAATTGGTCTTACATAGATACTGGCACTCGATATGAGGAGCAGCCAGCAGGTACACCATACAGTGACTTAGTTGATTGACTCGGTGACTGTCATTGGGCACTGTTGTGGTTCACAATGTCAACTACTGATGGAGTATTTGCAAGCTGCTGTGATATGCTGGATACATGTGTTAAAAGATGACTGTTGGTAGGATAATGTGGTATCACACTCTATTTGGATATTAATTGGTGCCATAATGTTGTTGGAGTATTGCAGTCTGGTGTAAACTTTCATTCTCTCATTCAAGTGGTGCTGACAAATACATGTGAGTTAAAAGTTAATGTCACCTCGGCAATATTTCAGCCATATCATGCATATAGTGATGAGACTGACAAATAAAGCATGGACATCAACTGAAGCAAGGTTTAAACCATTTTCCCATATTTCCTTGTTCAAGATGAACACAGAAGTGCAGGTGAAAACTGAGCCATTGGACATTCCAGAGGACAGTGGTCAGCCGAGTGTGGCCAAACGGGATGAAGAAGGGGGAATCGAAGAAACAGGGGTAAATGATGGCCTCCCCCATCAAGAGGCCATGGCTAGAGTCAGCAACACCATTGCAGAACTCATCGAAGTGAGTTTATCCTAGACTGTTCAGTTTCAGATACAACAAACTGTACATGTGACTGTTACATGATAGATGATAGCCTTGATATGTTTGTTCCCAATACACAAAACTTGTCATAACAAAAAGTTGGTAACTGAGTAAGTGAGACACTTTGGTTGCAGTGAGTGCCATCACAATTATTTATTAAGTCACTGAAACGCTTGGTTAAGATTTGATTATTTATAGGCCATGATCTACATATACTGTTCAGTTAATCAATTGGTCAGTCATGCCTTGACAGAGTAGCTATATTAACAAAGAAATATTTAGGGGTTCTTTAACTTTTTCTGTAATATGCATATTTATGTGTTTTTGCTTAGAACATCTCATGTTATTTACTAAATCAGTGTCATGAGAGTTTGTTGCCTGATTAAAAAATCAGATGTACATTCAGATTTGTCACTTCTAAAGTAACATCCTGCTTGGATTGTAGCTTTGACATTAATCTTTTCACCCGAAATGCAATCAAATATACGTATTTACCGATACATTACGTTTGTTATTCTATCAAATTGAGGAAAATGTGTGACCTAATAAAACTCCTTTAAGTAAGCTTGCAGTGCAGCTTAGCAGTGTTTTAGAAACTGGTAAATTTAGACAATCTGTTCCCAGTTTGAAGGTGTTTGACCAATGGCTGTTATTGGTTGGAGGCGCAAACACCTCTAACCTTATATTTACGTTATAATCAGGCTGAATTTTCTCTCAGGTGAAATTCCTCTCTATACACAGTTGGAATATTCAAAGTAACTTTCAGCCAATGATACTTAGTCTCCTTGTATTTTGGCAATTCCAAATGACCAATGAACATAGCTGTAGCAAATTAGGAGCCATATGACTAAGTGAGTAATCTGAAATAATTGTCCTGCTTTAATGCGGAAATCAAGTTTTCTATAAATCTTTAATTTAAACACATTCTGTGTTTTTACTGATCAAAAAACGTTATTAAACTGATACACTTTCAATTCAAAACAATTGTACACGTAATAGAGCACACTTTTCCTAGTTCAATGCATAGTTCCAAACTGCAGAATCGGAAAATCTATTCCCTTTTAGTAGCACACATTAGGTTTTCCTACAGGTGTGTTACTATTTTAGGGAGAGAATGTCTGACAGGTCACGTGATTGAAATTTAATGAAACTTACGTCACTTCGCTATGTGATAACTTTATTAACATAAATGCCCTTCTTGTCAAGGAGGCCCTCAACTCAGTGGTACACAGCTTCTAATCAGTCATGTTGAGCATGGTTATTGATGATTAAAATAAAATTACAAAAACAGCACACCTGGCAAGAATTAAAGCAAATGAGAGTTATCTGCCCTAGATGTGCGACGTGTGCTTGCAAATATTAACCTCTGGATATTTTGATAACGAAAATAGGGAGCACTTGTAGGTATAAGTACAAAGAAGTCATACATATAAGCTTTTCGCAATAGTCGTAACGGGTGTGCGAAAGTTCGACAAAGGATTTCCTCCACTGCGGCCTATAGAGATATGGAATGTCATATACTGCATAGATGGATCATGTTTATTAAATGACCATTGAAACGAAACTCTCGTGGCGTCTCTAGTAGATGCAAGTCTCTAACAGACGGAGGTATGGTTATCATGATGCTCTTGAAATCCGCTTCACCCCTCAAATCATCTCACGTCCGTCTCACTAAATTTCTTAATTTACTCATGTGCGTCCAATGTTGATTTTTTAAAAGGCTTTTCTTGTTTGTTTACAGGCAGACCCGTTGCTGAAGGATCTGCCAGCTGGGGTGACATTAGAAGAGGTTAACCGGCCATTGCAGTGGAGTACGGCCAGGCCATGGTGGTGGATGTGATGCGGGCAGATGGGGAAGTACTCAGTAAGTCATGTGTCTCTAGATAATGTCCAAACTGGGTTTTGGTAAGGTGTTGCTGATTTAAAAATAATTATGCGTTTTCACTGAATTCTCCCAAATGTCTTTAGTTTTTTAAATTTGGTTTGGTTATTTAAATTGCTCAAGTCCTATTAAAGCAGGTTTCATTATCAAAATTATGTCATTGAATGTTTTTTTTCAGTTAGTGTTTTATGGAGCTTGGAACAGTATTTATCTTATGGAAGTATGTTAGTTAAATTTGGGAAATTAGCCCAAAGTTAAAACTTGTATGATCCAAATTACTACCGGAAAAATGTGTTAGGGTACTGTTGAACCAAGGATGATAATCTTGTGTTAAAACTCAAGATGAGCTAATTGCAGTTCTGCACATAGAAAAACTCACCATAGACAAAGAGCTGTCTTTGCCTAATCGATGTTCCTGAAAGCATGTGTTTCTGAAATATGTATCTAAGACTTGTGTCAAGAAATGTTTGGTCATGTTACCTAAAACTTCCAAAATGTGGGTTACATGTATATTCACAAAACCAAACACGAACTTAGTCATGGTTGGTATCTATGGTTTATGTTTTTTAAGCTAAAATTTAAAAATTAGTAATTAACCCAAACACTGATTCAGATTAAAATGAGATCTCAGTCCTCACTAGTGCATACTAAGGCTAAAGGGGTCGTCGTTGGCACAGGTACTAAAGGTATGTACCCTAGCCAATATCAGAATACAGAAATGTACCCAAGGACGTATCCATTCTGCGTTGTGCCGTTTTCTTGATTGGAACTGTCATGCTGTTATATGAGAAACAAGCATGCACAGTTACAAATATTTCGCGATGCACAATGCCACTCGCAATCAGTAGAATGGAAATAATTACATACAGCTTTCAGTATTGCGGAATATGAACTCACCCACTGTTTAGGGTACCGGGTATGTTTCTGTGTTTTGACTTTGGTAAGGATATATTTCTGTATACGGAAACGTACCTGGGTACACATCTGTAGTCACAGTGCCGACAACGACCCCTTCAGCCTAACTAAGATTTTGTTGTAATGAGAATGTGAAACTAGATATCGAAAAAGCAACACCGTATACTGGTACTCCTTATCCTAATGACAACCCGTGAAGGTCCGGATTGGAATATTGGCCTTCAGTAACCCATGCTTGTCGAGAGGCGACTAACGGGATCGGGTGGTCAGGCTCACTGACTTGGTTGTTCCCAATTGCTCATGTTGTTGATCACTGGATTGTTTGGTCCAGACTCGATTATTTACAGACTGCTGCCATATAGCTGGAATATTGCTGAGTGCGGCGTAAAACTAAACTCACTCACTCCTTATCCTAATGACCTGCATCTGCTGTTTCAGAGATAGTGGTGGTGCAGGACGCCAGTGTCCTGGATCTGAAACATGCTATCAGAAGACATGTCGCTTTACGTCAGTCCAGAAGAGGAGGGACAACCCACATCAGCTGGTATGTTACCATAGCGATTGGGGTATGTCAGCCCCCTTGTTCCTAAATATCTCCCTGGTCCAGCAGGTTTAACCTTCTGGCACAGATGTAAATCTCCAATAGTCCAACCTTGTGGGTAGCTAACTATAGCATCTACATTTGTACATTTACTACAAGAAATAATCTCACGGTAACCATCAGCTTGTGTGTCTGTCTCATCAAGTCATCTGTCCCTACTGGGACTACAAGAACTTAAATGAATACTTTGAAGACACTTTCATTTCATGTGCTGTTTGAATATTTCTTTAAACAAATGAGGAACAGGTTAAATCAGTAGAATTTTCTTTCATAAAACACGTTCCTCTGTATAGCCTTGTTATGGCCTCTTAAAGAGCTGAAAAAGCTTTGAATTTGGTGGTTGAAGTGTGTGTGACCCTGCCTACATTACATGAATACTGCACCCTGTCTGTCATCAGGAGATACATCTGGAGGAGCTACTGGCTTTACTTTGATGGGCAGAAACTCAGTGATGACAGGAGGACTCTGAAGTCGTATGTAATTGCTTTCCATTCTCTCTTAGTCTCACATTACAAAATCACAGACTTGGATTAAAAGTGCCACAATTTGTTGATGTACAAGAACAAATAAAATTAGCAGACAATATCTAAGATCAATTTTTGAAGATCATTAAATATGTTCAGATATAATTGATAAAGGCAGCACTACTGTTGACCACCCTAAATATGTGTTCATCTGATGATGAGAAGATAACATGGGTTATCTCCCTTTGATGTGTAATTGGTGACATTGGTTATCTCCCATTGATGTGTAATTGTTGCCAAGGCTTGTGATTCTTGCATTTGTCATGGAAATGTCTTTGTCTGTCAATCTAAACATTAGCATCTGTGCTGTTGATACTGTTTTACTGACACTGGTTTTAAAAAAATACCCATGTCATCCAGAATGTTTCAGCTCTCATTGAAATAATGAGTGAGTGAGTTTGGTTTTACACTGCCTTTAGCAACATTCCAGCAATAACACGGTGGGGGGACACCAGAAAGGGGCTTGAAATAATGAGGATCAGATGATTAGGGAGTGTAGTTTGATTGATTTGGACACTGTCCCATCTCTGCTCTTATTCATTGAAAACCGGTTACACATACATACTGTAGGGTATAATGGCAGATGTTGAGTAAAATGTTGACATTAATAACTTGTTTTCAGCTACGGAATTCGAAATCGCGATGAGATCATGTTCCTCCAGAAACTCAGGAAATCATGAAGATAAAGATCTAATGCATGCTGGATTTAGAACAAGAAGAAACAATCAATGCGATTGTGGAAAAGCGAATCATCCTGGTGGTTCTTGAAAATGTGACTCATCCTGGTGGCTCTGGAAATGACAATCATCTTGGTGGACAGGAAAATGTGAATCATCCTGGAGGTTCTGGAAAATGTGAATCATCTTGGATAGGAAAATGTGAATCATCCTGGTAGTTCTGGAAAATATGAATCATCCTGGTGGTTCTGGAAAATGAGAATCATCTAAATGATTATGGAAAATGAGAATAATCCAGGTGTTTCTGGAAAATGTGAATCATCTGGATGGTTCTTGAAAATGTGAATCATCTAAATGATTATGGAAAATGAGAATAATCCAGGTGTTTCTAAAAAATGGGAATCATCCAAGTGGTTCTACAAAATGTGAATCATGTAAGTGGTACAGAAGAAGAAGTGGATCCTCCGGGTAGTTCAACAAAAGGTCAGCAGTTCTTACCCATGGCTGCATCACCTAACACATGTTGAAGATGGTACTTGTTGTTACCTTGCCTTGTACATGGGATTTAGGAAAACAACATGGACAGGATGGCTTAGAGTCAGTGTAACTGGTCTCAGTGATGTGTTCAAGTTCAGACTAGTACACTTCACATACATACGCCTGCACAGAGGTACAGATAAGCTGCATATCTGCATAAATTACGCAAATATTTATGTGAAAACTCAATTCCTAGTAAGTCTCTTGCGTACAAGTACGCTTGAATTTTCATAAATACTCAATAAATGTGACCTTACATGTGTACACACAAAAATGTCAAATCTTGGCTTACATACCAGTGGATAGATAAAATAACTGAGGTATATTGAGAGTTTCTATTTCAGGACACGAACTTGGCAACTTGCAGTCTTTCTTATCGTTTCTCATATTTACAGATGAAATATTAATAACAAACACTAACATTTAAACTTTATTATATTTTTAAAATTAATGAAAAATGGCAAAATACCCAATTGAGTTTGAGTGAGGTGAGTACAATTTATTTGGTTACTCAAAGGAAAATTAGGATACCCAATTGAGATGAACACAAGCGAGTACATAACTCAATGACCCAAAAAGGTATCTGTAGCTCTGCTGCAGTTGCCTTGTATGTGCAATAATCTTGAACAAAGCCTTAAATGTTAAACAAACTTCTCGCCTTGTTCAGTGATTCTGGGTGAGAATGACCTACTATTGACATTCTGGAACTACACAAGTTCCTTGTACATGATACATCTGCATTGGCAGATCAGAACTTTTGTTTCAATATGAATACTACACATAGTTTTTGTTTTGGTATTTGTTGTTTAGCACCATGGTCAACATTATCACAGCTGTTTCACTACTGTCTGTAAAGAACTGAGCCTGTACCAGACAGTTCTGTTATAAATATCATGAGCATCGATATACACAAATCGGATATCACCCACGGTTGCGCTTGACCACCCAGTCCCGTTTATCACCTCTCATGACAGGTATGGGTTGTTTAACAATTCTGAGCTGATTTTCATGGCAGTTATGTGACGTGTAACACATGGTCATGTGAATGACTGATTCAGTCATGCAAATGGATTATAAGAAATCAACTCATTTATTAGGTAATATTTGTACATCTCAGTGTTTTGCTTCCATCTGTAAAGTATGTATTCTATGACATCTGATACTGGTCAGCTCCCATGTATAGTGTGGAGGTCTTTGGGTACACGTTGGTGTTGCAGCCATCCCTGACACAGCAGTAGGAGCAAGTGAAGCTAAAGGGGTAGAAGTCATCCACGTTCAGGTTGACACACACTTCTTGGTCTGACGATGATAGCCACCACATGCTCTCACAGTCCTCACCATTGCCACACCTAGGTGAAGACAGACAGTGTTAGATAGTACTGGCACTGCCATGTCTAGGTGAAAATTCAGTGTCGGAAAGTACTTGGTACACTACTGATACGAGTTATCAAAGGTTCGATTGAACCAAAACATAAAGAATACATAAGAATATAGGAAGAAAAAATACGAACGAAGGGACCAAGCATTTGCTTCCAAACCATCTGAAGTTCGACATTAAGGTATTTTTCTGTATAAAATACCTGGTAATAAATTGACTCAATGTACCTTTTGGAGATGGTCCTGGAACCCCTGTCATCGTTGAGTATTGTGTTGAGACAGTAAGGGGATGCGGCTGGGCATGTCGTCAGTGGTCGCAACCCCGGGACGACCCCACAGAGGCCGCCATTACAAACCTCGCACCGAACTGGAGCATGAAACAACCTGTAGTCTTGGTATACATCGCAACTCAGAGTCATGTGACATGTGATTTATGTTATTACGTAGCTTCCGGGAGACAATTTACCAAAGGGTCATCTTTTATGTGCCGACTCATACATATACTGAACCACATTAGAAATGCACCACACTAAAATGCACCAACGATGCTCAGATATCATGGGTACATTTCGGTCTGACGAGGATATTTTGTATTATATGGGTGGTGCGTTTCTAATGCTGTTCAGTATACTGTCACACAGATGCATCGCCGTGTCCACGTATAACCTCTATAGAAATAGCACATAGATGTATCTCATCCAACACAAAAACGAAACAAAAAGAAATGACAACAATAACGGGAAAGAGGAGAAATATATACATTCGAAAAGAGGCTGGGGACATCCAAAAGGTGAGATTGTTTAGGCCTTACATACAGTTGGTTCATTTGTTACTGATTACAGTGAGGGGTGTTTGGGAGGTATGTGTGTGAAAACCGCTGGTAGTTAATTTGGGATGTAGTTCTTATGGGATGTAGTTCTTATGGGATGTAGTTCAAATGGGATGTAGTTCAAATGGGATGTAGTTCAAATGGGATGTAGTTCTTATGGGATGTAGTTCTTATGGGATGTAGTTCAAATGGGATGTAGTTCAAATGGGATGTAGTTCAAATGGGATGTAGTTCAAATGGGATGTAGTTCTTATGGGATGTAGTTCAAATGGGATGTAGTTCAAATGGGATGTAGTTCTTATGGGATGTGGGATGTAGTTCAAATGGGATGTAGTTCAAATGGGATGTAGTTCAAATGGGATGTAGTTCTTATGGGATGTAGTTCAAATGGGATGTAGTTCAAATGGGATGTAGTTCAATTATGGGATGTAGTTCAAATGGGATGTAGTTCTTATGGGATGTAGTTCAAATGGGATGTAGTTCTTATGGGATGTAGTTCTTATGGGATGTAGTTAAAATGGGATGTAGTTCTTATGGGATGTAGTTCAAATGGGATGTAGTTCTAATGGGAGTAAACCACCAGCAGTAGGGTCCGTGAGTAACCAAGCACATGAAGCGGTTGAGGCGTACATTCAGTCCGCACATTTTATTCTCCAAGAGTAATATTACATTTACTGTTACGTTTGTTAGGACATTGTTATTTCAGAAATTCTTCAGAAGTGACGTGGTTGCAAGAAGCGTACATAAAAGAATCATTGTATTTCCTATCTTCTTTAAGTACAACTCGGGAGATATGTATACTTACCACCCACATTGGGTGAGTTAGATGATGTAGTGATGGTTGTAGACGATGTGACAGTTGTAGGCGATGCTGCTGGAGTAGGTGGCGTTGAAGTTGTCTCAGATGAAGCTAATCAAAATATTAACGGACTGGTGTATATACCAACCGACGTCTCCAGATATCTGTCACACCACCTAATCTGTATTGGCATTAAGTTTAAGCACAGGCGAACTGTAGCACAAATAGGGTTGCGCATCAAAGAGAAAATGGCCAGTCTTCCCATATGCTTCACTCGCATATGGGAAGACTGGTCATTTTCTTTGATGCGCAACCCTATTTGCGCTACAATTTGCCTGTGGTTTAAGAACTCTTGAGTGATATCAGTACATAGCTGGCACAGGTTAGCTGAGACCACAGAGACCATAGGTTAATTATGAGTTGATTAGAGTTGATTGATGAATAAAATATTGGCTTCCTCAATACTGATATATCATGCCAACCAACCATTGTGCCGAAATACCACTGAACAGAGCTCTGCATCCGGCATACACAAGGGGGCTGGTACCCTCACAGATATTGATGAGCATATTACGGTAATCTATTTATTAAAGGGATATAGCTTAGTGCACACACACGTGACAAGTCCTTATAAACTGTAGATAGTTTATAACAAACAAAAGCAGGAAAAACAATTGGTAAATTGAAGCACTATTATGTCTATCAACAGTGAGCGCCAAAGAAAACTCATGTGGCATGGAGGGTTGTAGCGGTGCAGAGTTACGTCCCTTTATCGTATCAGCCGCTCTTGAAATGCCAAGTAAGTCTCTGTGCCCGTGTTTAGGACCTGCGTTACTCCCTGCTGAGAGACGGTGGGGTAGCGTAGAGGTTAAAGCATTTAATCGTCACGCGGAAGACAGTGGTTCAATTCCTTACTTGGATGTGAAGTATTTTGGGGGTCTACCCCCTGATACTTCTTGAATATTGTTAAACGCGGCATAAAACAATAGTCACTCCCTGTTGAAACCGAATTCACTTTCTTCTCACCTGTTGTGTGTATTGGATGGACACCGTCAACACACAGATCCTTGTTACATAGATTGGGACGGCAGCACTGCTCACATATTGTCTCGCCAGTGTGTTGACTGGAAGTCTTCATGATAGCTTTGGCCTGACATGTCTTTAAATCAGATAACGGGATCTTGTACACACTGAAGACCGTACGCCAACCGATACAGATGTTTTTAAAGTAGTAAAGTAGTTTCACCTCTCCTGGGATAAGTATACACGCCTTAAGATGGTCATACATTAAGATAATCTGACATGCATTCATATAAACACACATGTTTACAACAGAACTTCACTCCAGGGGCGGTGGGGTAGCCAAGTGGTTAAAGCGTTGGCTCGTCACGCCGAAGACCCGGGTTCGATTCCCCACATGGGTACAATGTGTGAAGCCCATTTCTGGTGTCCCCCGCCGTGATATTGCTGGAATATTGCTAAAAAAAAACCGGCGTAAAACTAAAAACTCACTCACTCACCCCACTTCTTCACATTATGAAACACGTCTTTCCACGACCAAACACGCCTTTACATAAATTATGTTTACCACGGTGAAAGTGACAATGAATTTCTACGCTCATGAGGTACAGAAGTCCTCCTACCCAATGCTTGCCGTCAGAGATCTTTTACTGTAGATATTGTGCTCACAATGTCTCGCATGTTTTTGTCATCACTCACACAAAGGCCACCCACTCACTCACTCACAATAGTATTGAGAGATCAACCCACCTCGGGACCCCTGCAGCCAGCAGTGTACGCCATGACGTCATTGTGCATCCCCGTCTGGAGGAAACACACCTAAACACATTGAAACATGGTGCTGGATTATCAAGGAAGGGTGGGTGGGGGGTACAATCCATACGCGTCTGAGTATGTGGGGTGAGTGAGTGATGGAAGCATTACGTAAACAATTAAAAATTGCATTTTTCGATGTAATAGACAAGTATATTCCTGTGCTTTATCCTCTCATTATCGAACAGCACACATCCACATTTATGTGACATGTGGACCTCAATAGTATAGTGGGTCTCGTCACGGTATGGCTGAAATAAAGCTTATGCTACGTAATATCCATAGTATAATTAATCTCCATAGTATACTACTTAGTAGCTGGCTAATATTGTGTTAATATCCATAGTATACTACTTAGTAGCTGGCTAATATTGTGTTAATATCCATAGTATACTACTTAGTAGCTGGCTAATATTGTGTTAATATCCATAGTATACTACTTAGTAGCTGGCTAATATTGTGTTAATATCCATAGTATACTACTTAGTAGGGATCCATAGTATACTACTTAGTAGCTGGCTAATATTGTGTTAATACATTGACTGCAGCTGGCTAATATTGTGCAACTACTCATTGAGCTGGGTGTTAATATCCATAGTATACTACTTAGTAGTTGGATGGCATACACTACCTTCAGTATCCATAGTATAATTGTGTTAATATCCATAGCATATACTACTTAGTAGCTGGCTGATACTGTGTTAATACAAACTGGCTTTATCCTCTCATTCACATAGTATACTACTCAATCTAATATTGTGTTAATATCCATAGCTACAGTAGCTGGCTGATATTGTGTTAATATCCACATTTACCTAATATTGTGTTAATATCCATAGAGACTGATATGTGGTACTAATATTGTGTATATATCCATAGTATATATACTACTTAGTAGCTGGCTGATATGATATCCATAGTATATAGTACTGCTAATATTGTGTTAATATCCATAGTATATACTACTTAGTAGCTGGCTAATATTGTGTTATTATCCATAGTATACTACTCAGTAGCTGGCTAATATTGTGTTAATATCCATAGTATATACTACTTAGTAGCTGGCTAATATTGTGTTAATATCCATAGTATACTACTTAGTAGCTGGCTAATATTGTGGCTCTTGTGACGACGTCTGTCGGTGTTGTTGTTGATACAGACCTCGTCTTCATGACACGCGTCCACGTCGTTGCAGAGAGACAGGGAAGCCACCTTATAACAGCTGTAGCAGGTCGGGGGGCCGGGCTCTGTTAGAGACCTTTAGTTTAATATGTAATTGGAATTTAAACACGGGGTATTCGAAAACACGAGATGCAATGATTTCCATAGAGACAGTAAAACTCATACTGTCATCGCAGCCTGGCTATATATATATATTGTCAAAAAGAGGGACATTTAGTCCTAGTTACATGTAGCCTATCGGTATATAATTATTATCTTTTAGTGTAAGTTTTAAAAATGACACAAATACCCCAAATTGGTCTTATACTGTATTAGCAAAACAGGGGTTTTACGAAGCTTGGGACGTGGGTGACAACTATCTTGAACTAATTAAAATTGTCAAAGCTTGACAATAATCAGTCTCTATTATTTATCAAAACAGTTTCCGTTGAGAATGAAATGCAAAATAGGAATGAAATTTCATGAATGGATCACTAAAAATCAGTAACATAAACATATCGGCATAGACTTCTTTAACTGGCAAATCACCACTTACCAATCAGAAAACTACACACGCCTAACGCCATACAGGCGATAAGACCTGGGAGAAAAGAAATGGATTGTTCATGACAGACGTCAGTATTTCACAATAATGCCAATGTTGACACGAATGGTCAGAATTTCGACATCAAGTGCGTCCATCGACTCCTGGCATTGTGTGTAGGGACATACAGCTGATGCTGATGTAAAACTGATGTACAACCTGTGGCGGTCAGAATGTCCGACACCATGTCCTGGCAGAACTGTTGGCTTGACCGGACAGAAAGGTCCTTGCCGACTGACGCTGATAACACGTATAACTGACCTGCCAATAAAGATAAAATTTGTGGATTAGTTTTCGGACTTGCTCACCAGTATATCAGTGAACTAAACATACATCGAGGTCTCACAGCATATAACAATTTGTTTTCGAGATGACCAAACACTAAATATGTATTGAGCGTACTTAGCCGTCGCTTCAATGGCACAGAGTGCGGCGTAAAACTAAACTCACCCACTCACTTATTTGGCAAAGATAGTAATTTTGTGTGTGAGCCCGAACGAGCGTTGGAATTTGATCCGTAACTACTGCTACTACTTCTTCTACTACTACTACTACTACTACGACTACGACTACGACTACGACTACGACTAACTACTACTACTACTACTACTACTACTACTACTACTACTACTGCTACTACTACTATGACGACGGCTATTACTATTAGTAATAGTGAAGGTTAACATACACATTACACTCTCATCCTACCGGGTACCCATTCGCTGCTGGGTGAACAGAGGCGCAACTCGAATAAAGTCACTCACTCATGGAAACACATTTTGCATGTCCAAGGGCCCTAGAAACTTCGAAAAGCGGAATATGTCAGCTTAATACTATCAAAACAATCAATGTTTGACTAGATCAAACTGACAGCCACGGAGAACTGGTCAAACTCAGAGAAACGAAACTGCATACATATAATTATTAAGACTTACTGACTACGAACCTTAATCACTACGGATATAACTAAAACATTAACAGTTACAACATTTCGTTATATACAGATTTCACTGTATGTAGGTGTTTACAATTCGGGGCCTGTGATCAGATAGATAGCGATATTGACCGGGTCAGTTGAGAACTAGACGTGAAAACCAGCAGGTGCCCGTGTTAGTTCAGCGTACAACAGTAAATTCATGATTTTATTATTGAACCAGTATTGATGGAAATTGTCATGGAAATTCAGTAAACGTCCCGGAAAACGCACATAATTCCTGATGTTATCTTGATAGAAATGGTAAAAACATGCCAAACAAAAGCATCTCGCCCTCACGCATCCATTTCATTTTTATTATCATACGGTGTAGTGCACAGCTATTTAATTACGCCACAAAGGTTGACGACATTGAAAGAAATAATGAGTCTCATAACAAATCGATAATATGTGAAGCTGATTTAATGCCCTGTGTTGTGGCCATTTATGCAACGCCCCAATGACCAATAATGCAGCGGAGAACGTGGGTAGCTGACAGACATTAAATATAAAAATAATATGTGTTTGCAGTATAATTATTAACATTATGCATCACAATGGAACACGAGGCGGGGAACGGACGCGAGAGTATTCATCGACATGAAGGAGATGGGCAATTACGACAGACATTAGTATAAAGTATCGCCACTGGTGATACTAGACTCACGTGGCGATTAAGAAAAGAGGTGAGGCGAAATTGGGTTTAACGTCGTGCTTGAGAATATTTCGCTCATATGAATATGACGACATGCATGCGTGTGTATGTGTATGTGCGGCTGCTTGTACTAGCCCAGACTTAAGCTGGTTTT